CAGTTATACTTCTGTCTCTAAAATAGTTATAAGAATATCATAATCAGGTATTAATCAAACATTATACTGTAATAATAATCAAAGCAATATTTGCAGTTTTTCCTCTCATGTAGTATAACATATGCAGCATACCAAGGTAAGTGAGGCGCAGTGTTTTTTAAATCTCTTGTAAAAGGTATCACCCCCCCTGGACTGACGGGTACCCCAAATGACTCATACAGACCCCCTGAGTCTTAATCTACACCCGAACTGCCCCAAAACACCAATGAAAGTGGGCCCACTATCCTTCCATTAAGGAGAAGAGAGACACAGGCCAGGGCGAGGCATTGCACTAGGATGAGAGAAAGCCATGGTCCAGACAACTGCCGACCTCCTAATATGGATGCCATACTACAGACTTCCTAATATGGATGCCTAACATTGGAACACTTAAAAACCGTTGAGGTGGTTTCAGACTCTTAAGGAGAAACCACAAATGCAGGTTGACTCATAGCCATCATCAGGGAAATCACGAGCTGGGGGCACGCGTTTAAAAATTACCACTTATTAGCGATTTGTTTGGTGTCGTAATCCCCTCTTTCCCAGAGGATGAAAAGCTCATTCACATAATAACAAGTCCTCGATACTCCACTGTATCTGGGAGATGGGGATTGGAGGAGGAACAGAGACAGAAAACCTCTTGGCTTTGTGTCCGAGTGAGAGTGGCAGTCTATAAAGTGCTGTGCTATGTTTGTCATTTGTGGGCCAGGCTGTGTCACACACATCGGTTTTAACTTTGACCCCGCTTGTCAACGCAAGTTCCATAGTACCAACCAAACAAATCTATTGGTCCAGACTCAAAATGCGCCACTAAGATGTGAACGCTCAACCACATTCATATACTCTAATGTCTTTAATAACCAGACTGCAGGTCCGCAGTATGCATCTTGGTATCTGTGTTTGTGAGTGTTTGTGTACTGTGCATGTGTGTAAACGCAGGCATTTCTGCATTGCAATGCGTTTTTGAGATACATCTTTAGATTTTTCGTTTCACTTTCGGTTTACAGCACCACCATAAAGAAAGGCACTTTCTGTGGACTTCTTCACTCTGCCATAGGTTAACCTTCCGCCCCGCAAAGAAAGAACATACAACTCAAAATCCAGCATATATATCTGTGCGTCATAGACAATGGAATGAATACACATATAGCTACTTTTCCATAGAGCATAGATAACTCTGGGGTGATGTTTTAGATCTAGAAAGGCCTTGCTCATAAATATCTATAACTTAGCAAACTGCTGAAAACACTAACGAACATCTGAAAAACGTTACTGATGATGATTTAGCGAGTTGTAATGTTGTAAGGATGTTAGGCAAACACATCTGCTATATGTAAACATGTGTTTTTTTGCGCAGGAAAAGCAGAACGTTCTATACAGTCATTGACGTTCATCAAAATGTCAGCTTGGATGATAGCTACGCTTGTCACTTGCTAAACAATGTCCCGATCTATACACACCACCTCCCTCAACGGAACTTAGCCCTACTTCTCACTTTACATACACCCGATCCAGCCACAAGCACAAAAACAATCATACCCAACTCTTTACCAACTTACTGAGCAAACTTCCTCTACTCTTCCATCTTTTCTCCACTTCTCTCTCAGGGGAATCTCATGGCAGATCTACTGGCTATGGAATGTAGTCCTCTGGCATTGGGAATCAAATCAACAGTCGGAGAAAGTGGGGGAAAAACAAATGAGATTATAGGCTTTGTCACATTGCAGACTTACTGGAGGCCTATACACTTTGTATTTCTGAGCACAAGAAGTGCCCTTGGTGGTGCGAGGAGAGAGAAAGCAACAACAATTACAAGCCAAGTCTCATTCTATAGGGGCCTCATAACCCACAAGGCTTAACCTAAAACACTGCGGGCCACATTGGTACTAAAGATGAGCAGTCAAGGTAATCATCTCATTCTTTGATCAACCACACCTTTTAAAGTGGGTCTACAACACTTTGACAAGCCCCGGTGTCTCCCGCTCTCTCCTATTCTACAGGCATCAACTCCAGCCTGAGAAAGACAATCAGGATCAGAACAAATATGCTCCAAAAAAAAATGAAAGGTCCAATGATTCCATGACAACAGGGAGTGAAAGAAATAGAAGCATCTCTTACTTCTAGAATTCAGAAGAGGAGACAAGTCCACCACATCCCGATCCATAAAAGTAGAACGATCCCGACATGTTACATGTTGAAATATATCCACCGCCACTGTACGCACGCCGAAATACACAAATCATCTTATACATTGCCACAGGACACGAGTCAACAACAGTCTATTGCATTATCAAAACTCATATTGAATTACTGTTTACTTTTAATGATATTATTACTATGATTAATAACTATATAACTACATATGTTAGATTTTTTGTTAGCAAAAATAAGTGGTGTGCATTACAATAATGTGAAATGTACATATATACTTCTTCCAATCTGGCTTTTTAAAAAGGCTTTTTGGACACTAGTGAAGATCATGAAGGCTCAAACTCATTGGCTTCCAGCCAGGGGAAGGCTAGAGTTGGGAAGGCAGTCAAATGCAACTATAGGGGGACACGGGATTCTACCATTAGACATCACTACAGTTCACCTATTGGGGTAGTCCTTGCATTGAGAACTTTGTGTCCTTATATCATTGTACCGTCAAAACAAGAGATTCTCAATGGCAACTGTTTCCACTAACAGTTAGGACGAGAAATCCATACCGTGCCCCACATAACACAGACCCTCTCGTCTACCTCATTGGGAGGTTAACTACGGTACATTCGTACCCCCCCAAAGGCCTACACAGACTCCAAATTCTCAAAGGGGTGTGGCAAGGAGGCCACACCCCCCCATAGCACCAGAGGCATGTGTTCGGTCCGACACAGACTTCTTTTAGTGCAGATTATTGTCTTTCTTTTGAACACCATTTGGCATGCCTCATGTCACAGAGCACAGAGGAGCTAAGCAGTGACCACACAAATCACTCAGTCTCTTTGACTTCCAAGACTCATAGAACTGTTGACTCTAGAAGACAGCTAGCGACCATTGGTTTGGATGCTCAGTTACACGGCAAAAATTAACTTGTCGGCTTAGCTCTCCTGCCGATCATGACTCTGAGGCATGCCTAGATTCTTAGTCACCTTAAGTACATGTAGATATAGCAGCTAGATCCATGTCTGATGAGGATATAGGCAGAGTGCAGCACGACTTGATCTGCTAAAATACTGCTGCTATTAGGCAAAGACAACAGGAGAAACTAACACAGACAACATATGTTTGCTTCATGAGGATTTCAGCTGTAATGCAACTTCTCGCAAAAACTGAGGCCTAAACTCCTAGCTTGAACTTAAACTTCTCCACGTCAAATTATCTCTTTAACTCTTCCTGGCTTTTTGAATACAACTTAAAGGCTAGACCATTAACTTCCGCAACCATCCTACTACCCCATTAAAACCGGTAATTTCCAAACATGGTGTGTCTAACCCTGAAAACAGAGCTTAATGGTTCCATTCAACCATTAGACTTCCGAACAAACCTTCTCTTCTAGAAGAAGCTTCTTTCCCTTAGCCTCTGTAGCTCAGCTGGTAGAGCACGGCGCTTGTAACGCCAGGGTAGTGGGTTCGATCCCCGGGACCACCCATACACAAAAATGTATGCACGCATGACTGTAAGTCGCTTTGGATAAAAGCGTCTGCTAAATGGCATATTATATTATTATTATTATTATTATTATTATTATTATTGCACTAGAGGAAAGCAACATGATCTGTTATTCAATTTAGGATCGTCCACAACGAATTAAAATCCAAGAGAGCGGTGAGATAGAAAGAGCAATGAGATAGAAAGAAAGAATGCAGAAAAATGCTCTTCTCATATTAAATTACTATATCTTGAGCGTACTAATAAATACTGGAAAGAATGATTAAAAAAGAACAAGCATCTTAAATATCAAACACATGATGTACAGGAAAGAAAATTCAAAACAGGGTCACATTGCAATGTTGTACGTTGATGTGACAGCACATTAGACCTATGTCATAGGGGACTGACCTAGGGTGTGATATCATTGTATTACCCTCTATGATGTGTGCCACTGTATGCGCACAGCACTTATTGGTTCAAGTCAAATGATAACGAGTTAGAAATCATATGATTAGCATCATAGCTTATTACCCAGACAGGTTGGGACTTTTGAAGAGAGCATTTACACCATTCAAACTCCAGGTGGCACTGTGCTCACAATAAGCGCTTGTGTTTGTCTCCTAGTACACAGTGTACATTGACACGCTCACACTTTTGATAAGTCACCGTTGGCTAAAAAAAGATGGAGGAGAAAGGAGAGGAAAGTAACCGCGGCAAGCTGGTGCGCCGTGATAGGTCTGCACCGATAGAAATCCACCCTTCACACTCCTAACTATGTTCTTCTTCCTCTCCTCAACCTTTGAAAAAGAAAAAAAGTCAAAACAGAACTAACAAACGAAAAAGGGCAGAAAGTGCTGCCGTTTAAAAACTGAGTTGAGGTAAAAAGGCATGATGACAAAAGGGGAACGATTTCTGCAACGTCGACCATACACATCCGGAATCAAAACAACAGATCTCCTTCATGACCAAAGAAAAGGAGGGAGGGACTGGAGGAGGGTGGGGGCGGAGTCGGGGTGCCCAGGAAAAGCAGTTGGCTGGTTTAATATTGCATAATAGTGCCGAGTTCTTCCTCTCTTGTTTTAAAGCAGCATCTGTCTGCATCCTCAGTCCATTGCGGGGGGGGCTTCCCTCACCCCCCTCCTCTTCCCTCTACACAGTGTCAGGTCCGGATTGACTAGTTGTGGGGGGCTGCAACCTTCCTTGACTGGCAGGTGGGGTGTGTGTGTGTGTGTGTGTGTGTGTGTGTGTGTGTGTGAGACGGGTGTGTGTGTGTGTGTGTGTGTGTGTGTGTGTGTGTTAAATGCAGTGATGGTGGTGTGGGGTGGTGCTCAGGCGAAGTACATGGTCCTCAGCGTGTCGTGGTGAATCTGCACCGCCTTGGCCAGAGCCTGGGGGTCCCGACCGTTACTCTGCCCAGAGACATGGCTGCCCTCCGCACTGGGAGAAGAGAAGTCATTCAGCAGGTCAGAGACATACATGAATGGATCAGAAAGACAGGTCAACTATCATACATACACTTCTTTGAAGCTACATTTTTTAATGTAGAAAGCTAGCTAGCTTTCTGGGGGCAGTATAATATCTAGTGCTGCCTTGGTGGCAGTATAATATCTAGTGCTGCTTTGGGGTCAGTATAATATCTAGTGCTGCTTTGGGGTCAGTATAATATCTAGTGCTGCTTTGGGGTCAGTATAATATCTAGTGCTGCTTTGGGGTCAGTATAATATCTAGTGCTGCTTTGGGAGCAGTATAATACCTAGTGCTGCTTTGGGAGCAGTATAATATCTAGTGCTGCTTTGGGGGCAGTATAATATCTAGTGCTGCTTTGGGGGCAGTATAATATCTAGTGCTGCTTTGGGGGCAGTATAATATCTAGTGCTGCTTTGGGAGCAGTATAATATCTAGTGTTGCTTTGGGAGCAGTATAATATCTAGTGTTGCTTTGGGAGCAGTATAATATCTAGTGCTGCTTTGGGAGCAGTATAATATCTAGTGCTGCTTTGGGAGCAGTATAATATCTAGTGTTGCTTTGGGAGCAGTATAATATCTAGTGCTGCTTTGGGGGCAGTATAATATCTAGTGCTGCTTTGGGAGCAGTATAATATCTAGTGCTGCTTTGGGGGCAGTATAATATCTAGTGCTGCTTTGGGAGCAGTATAATATCTAGTGCTGCTTTAGGGCAGTAGAACACAAAAAAAAACTAAACAACAGTATTGCAGTACTGTACATTTCACCAAAAATAGATAGGAAATATGAAACCTAGAGTTGAGCACAACAGAGGCGAAGCATGCAGAAAGACTAAACCAGACCAGATTGTTTTGTGCAATGATAAAGTAACCCCCACCCCTCCCAATCACCTGTCGTGTTCCTTGTCCACCAGATGGTAGCGGGCACGGAAGGCCACCAGGTGGGCATAGTAGGCTGGCGCAGGGATGGAGACGGAGCGGGTACAGCGCACGTAGGTGTGGCAGAGCTGGTAGGTGAGCAGCTGGAACTCATCGGCCGTGAAACAGTTGTCGTCCCACAGGACGTGGTAGTGGGAGGGCCGACTGGTGCCCTGGGGAAAGCAGACAGCAGACATTACATTTACTACACCGGCTCAATTTGGGGATTTGATCGAGATGTAGTATAAAAAGCGATGTAGAAAGACAATGGTTTCCACCTAAAACTCTGGGTTTTACAATGAGCTATAGGCCTATTTATTTGCTAATGTAGTCTTTCATTTTCTTCATCTTCAAAACCAAAGAGTATTTGGTAGTTTAGTTTCAGTAAATAACTGTTTACCTACTAGAAAATTCCAACAAAAGCAGTGTGAATAAAGTGTGTTTAAACTATAAAAAGCAGGCGTATTTCCTGAGACTTCATAAAGTCATTTCCTGAGAGTAAAGTGTGGTGAGGCAGCAGGCTAGATGAACAGATGGTGAATGCTGCTGTACCTGTATTCCAGCGTGACTGCAGAGGTAAAAGTCAAACTCGTAGGGGTGCGTGATGTCCGTGTCCACCGTGGTGCCAGCAGGAATGTTTCCACTACGTCCAACCTGACAGAAGAGGTCGATAGGGGGTTATTATTCATAACTGGCAATGTTAAAACCTCCATCTGTCCTGTACTGTTCTACTTCAACACCAAGCTTCAGAGTGTTTATCTCCACTCTTTCTGTGCGTCCGACACAGCTCTGCATGATGTCATCTACAAATGACCAGAATAATGACTAAATAGATTTCTTCCTGTCTGTAAAAGTGCACTTTACTTGTAAACAAGGTGATGACTCCAAAAGCCCTGCTCTCCCAGTCCTTGAGTGACACTCCAGGTCCCCCAATTCACTTCAGGCCTAATGCTATTATGGAATAGAATTACCAGGGATGAGGGAGAGCAGGCCCATTGACAACATTGTAATTGGATAATTAGGACAACCCATTTAGAGCGGTTAATAAACTAGTGGGTAATAAAGAACACAGACCAACTCTGTAACACACAGTTCTCCCCTAATCTATAAAGGGCTTTTCACACTGCTGTGCCCAAAACAGAGTTGAGCCAAGCTGTAGTGAGCTGGCCTGGTTAGGCATCTACATGCACAGTTTGGGTGGGATTCAGCCCTATAATGAGAATCAGGCACGGGTATCATCCTAAGGTAGCTGGGAGGGTGGCGGGGGTAAAGTGGGCCCACTCACCCTTTCATTGCGGTCGGCACAGAAGAGGCGGGTGTGGTGGCGTTTCTGGACCACGATGTAGGTGATGCCGGGCTGGTACTCCTTCTCTAGGCCAATGCAGGCCTCGCGGATGGCCAGCAGCTCGTAGTACAGCACCTGGGGTGGGCAGAGGGATAAAATGGGTTAAAACATCCATTATTGACGATATGACTTTGAATGTCCTCCATCTCGGTTCTGGGCAAGTTTTTCTAGTTCACACCAGTTGAGGCAGATTATATAGGCTTTGACATTGCACCCTTTTATCACCATCTGACAATGTGACGGGTAAATAAGTGTCTTAATGTTTTGGTCACAGCCATTCATGTTATTCTAATGTCCTCTTAGATGGAAGTGCATCAATGGTTTACTTACACAGATAGGTATATGTACTAACTTAAATCAGTTTAATTAAAGAGGGAAACAACATTTGACATGCAACCTTTGACCCTCTAGTTTCTGAAGTTCTAGAGGTGGAGAGTGACTAATTTTCCCCCAGGATAGTCACTCGGTCTTTGTTCACCTGTCTGAACTGGCCCTCTGACACTCCGTCCCTGTAGAAGATGATCCTGGTAGGCTTGTAGCGGGTCGACTTGTAGAACTGGATCAGCAGTTCTCGGACCATAGAGGCCAGATCCTGGATCACCTCCTGCCTGGGCCTCTGGACCCTCACTGTGGCACAGTACCTGCTGGGGTGGGCATCCATACTGCCTACCACCTGGAGAGGGAGAGTGTGAGATACACACAAACACGAGCTCTGTGCAAACTGACTAGCTCTGCACAAACAGTAAGAACTTGAATGCAGTGGCGATACAGTATAGACCAGGCCATTGAAGCCTCAAACATGTAGTCCGCAGGCCAGATGCGGCCCGCGAGCTTATTTAATGCGGCCTGTGGTCGTCTTAGTAAATGTGGCCCATGGTTGTAATAGTATAAAAAATAAAAATAAACATTTGGCCCTTGGGGTAAATTAGATTGAGACCCCTGGTATAGGCCAATAGGAGTTAAGTGAACTCACTGCAGCGATGGAAGGCTTCTTCCCGTCTCCAGCAGGGGGGTGTGTAACATCCGCCCCCAGGAAGATGATAGGCTGCTGGAATACTGAGGGTCTGGGTGGAGGAAGAGAGGGACCAGTGAGGACAGCGTTCAAACAAAGGGTCTCTAATATGATTAAGGGTTTAGATTTATTACACAATACGTACATTTATTTAGATCATAACATTTTACATTACATTTACATTTTAGTCATTTAGCAGACGCTCTTATCCAGAGCGACTTACAGTTAGTGAATGCATACATTATTTATTTTTTCCAACCCCCTGTGGGAATCGAACCCACAACCCTGGCGTTGCAAACGCCATGCTCTACCAACTGAGCTACATCCCTGCCGGCCATTCCCTCCCCTACCCTGGACGACGCTGGGCCAATTGTGCGCCGCCCCATGGGTCTCCCGGTCACGGCCAGCTACGACAGAGCCTGGATTCGAACCAGGATCTCTAGTGGCACAGCTAGCACTGCGATGCAGTGCCTTAGACCACTGCGCCACTCGGGAGACAATATAATAATAACAAATTGGAGGACGCTTAACTGGGAGATTGATATTGATGTAATTTGTGTACAAAAAAAATTTACATTCTCAAGACCAATACATACAGTATTTGAAACAGATATTGACTATTGTAGTAAGTCCTAACAAAGTTGATTTACTGTTTAAACGGATGCCCCGCTTCACATTTCTCAAAAAATAAACAATATATTTGAATAATTAATTAGATTCATATGAATGATTCTTTGACAAAACAACCGATTCACTACGCGATTACAGTGGTTGGGATTCGGTTCAATCGCAGTGAATTGAATCATGTGAATCAAAAGAACCATTTATGAATCACAAACAGGAATTTTAGGAAAAAAGATTAGCTGTAGCTTCCCTTTCAGATTATGTGGCTACAAAATGTGTTTTGTAGATACTTCAAGCTGATTTGTGCATTCAATTTAGTCAGCCTGCAAAATAAACACTTCTAATGGAAGATAGATATGACTAAATTAGAAAAGGCACGTACATTTCCTAAAGAAAATTAAAATATTTGTATGGTCAATCCACAGTCCTTCTATCCTCCAGCCACAATGGCCACGTACCGTTGGTGAGGCACCAGGATATTGTTGATTCCCCCCAGCTTGACATTGATCTTGAGGCAGAGGTTGGAGAGGGTCTGGGGGGACGTCTTCACCACGTTCTTCACCTGGACACACTGAGTGGCCATTCCTAGGAGAGTATCTCCCACCCTCTTCACCTCCGCTACACAGGACCAATAACAGGCAGTCATCAATCAATCTCTGTGCAATTAACAGTCAGTCAGGTTAGGCAGGTAAAGAGTAAAGTACCACCTATGCTTTAAAGTGAAGGCATTGATAGATACCAGACAGATGTACACCATCTGTTAACATACAACAGTACACATCTCTTATCAAAGCTTCTTCAGCAACACAAGAGTTTCAAAGAACAGAAGTATTATATAGATACAGAAAATTCTAAACAGACAGTGAATCAGCATGGATAAGGTGATTCCAATGAACATCATGTGAATATGTCTATGGGCGCTCCCTACCGTAGACGGGGGTCTTTCCAGGCAGGATGACGATGATTAGCTGCAGTCCTGAGTAGGTGTTCTTCAGGTGCCTGAACATGGGCTCCACACTGTCAGCTCCCTGGGCGTATTTACAGAAACACGGCTGGCCCTGGATGGGCATCCCAGCATCCTTGGAGATCTTACGCAGCTGGTCTGTGAAACCCCTATAGAAGGAGGGGGGTTAATGGATGGAGGAAGAGAGAGGGATGGAGAAATTAGGGAGGAAGATAGTGATGGAGAAATGAGGGAGGGAAAGAGGAATGAGGGAGGAAGAGAAAGGAATGGAGAAATGAGGGAGGGGGAGGAGGGAAAAAGGAAGGATGTAAAGAACAAATATAATATGGTTGGTTAGGGAATGGTTTAGTAATGTAATCCTTGAGAGTCACTGTGTAAATTCTAAGAAGGTTGTATCAGAGGTGTAGAGGACAAACTAATTACACAAGGATCACTTTCTTATCTGGGAGGCCATCTCCAACACATAAATAGCAGGGAGAGATTCCTTTCATTATCCCTGTGGCTACGTGAGAAGCTGCTTAATGAAGAGGCGGGTTATGTTTATTAGGCACCAAATGGAAGAAAATGTCCTGAAACAGTGCAGGACTACCTGGACCAATAAGAAACTCATTTTCGTTTTTCGTTGCAAAATGTTTTGCAACGGTGTGCCCTAACGAACATAACCCAGTTGTACACATAGTAAGTGGGTGAAACAGATGAGTGGTTGGTTCTTACTTGAGGATCTCCTCGCGACACTGCCTCTGTGTGGCGAAGCAGGCGATGGCCCACATCTTGATCTCCACTCCCGTGTGGAACTGTTTGCCCCTCATGTCCCACACGCCATGACTTGGGGTGGCCACCGTCCGGTTCTGAAACCACAGTGTAGTACGGTTGATCTGCTGCGCAGTGCCCATATACACACACACAGTGCTTTCACACTCGCACACTCAGTCACACACATTTCTGTGCGCACAAACATACACACACTTCTGCGTGCACACACACACACACCCTTGTTTTTTTATCCTCGTGGGGACCTAAAATGTATTTCCATTAAAAATCATATTTTCCCTAACCCCAACCTTAACCCTAACACCTAACCCTAAGTGTAAGCCTAAACCTAACCCCTAAGTTTAAAATAGCCTTTGTCCTAATGGGGATGTGGGAAATGTCCCCACGAGGGAGAATTTTCCTTGTCTTACTATCCTTGTTACAGATTCAACAGTCAAGCAGACACTTCAGAAAGACATGCAGGCACACATATAGAAATTACACATAAAATACTGGTGTGTAGACACCAACACTTTATGGATACATAGTCTAATTTAAACCAAAACACATTTACACATGTAGGCCTAACATGTATAGACTGAAAGACAACAGGTGCTGTGTTTTAAAATGTTTTTTTTTTCAAAAAGCTTCAAAAGGTCCTCTGAAAATGTTCTAAGAATATTTGAGCATTTCAACACTGAACGTGTCAAAATTGTATTGCCCCTAACCTTTAAATTAACCATTTAAGGCAAGGCACCACAGACTGAAATGAGATTTTTGCATCTACTTATCAATTTTGAGATATTTTGGTCTTTAATATTGGTTCTTTCAAAAAGTAAACAAACATTTCCAAAACTATGTAAATACATTATTTATTTTGTTTATCATCATCATCATCATCATAATGTCCTGAATTTTAACCACATTGAAATGGACACAAATCTATTAATGTAATTAATTATACATAATTTAAAAGCCCATTACATAGAATGTTACAAACTGGACTATATGTAGTAACATCATTTGAAGAGATCGTGATTAGGTCTAAATAGGTGTTTTACGATTGGTAAGCTAAATTCATTGTACTTCGCTTTAATGGTCATTTATTTCCTGAAAGTCAGACTCTTCCCAAACGGCAACTCATTTTTCTCAGCTTCAGAAGCATCTGCACTCACAAAATTTAACATTCACAAAATTGTTGATGGCTAAAATAAAAATTGGACAACATTACATTTTATTTTTAAATATGCACCAAAAACGCTGTTTACGTACATGGTTTAGTAACTTACGAAAGATGAAAAAAAAGTCTGGTCCTGGAGTGTCTTAACAAAATTAAATCAAAATGTTTAGGCTGACCTCATCCAATGTCCAGAAAAACAGATTTGTGGTATATGTTATTTGAGGTCTCCTTGGGCTGTCCTAATCACTTATATTTTAATGTAAGGAAAACTGGGTCCGGGTTTAAGGGTTCAATTTGATTTGACTGTTTTCATAAAGTGAAATTGCAAACCAAAGTGAGTGAGCCAAAAAATTGCATATAAACATCACAAAAGCAAGCTAAATTAAGTCATAGCTATCTGTACTACGCATTCTCAAAAAAAGCAGAAATGAAAAATTATGTAGCCGTGTTCCCATTGAGCCAAGACTACTAGTTTATGTTAATCCACACACACAGGCCTGTATTCATTAAGTGTCTTAGGGTAGGCGTGCCGATCTAGGATCAATTTTGTCTTAGAAATCATTATGAATAAGAGGGGGACCTGATCCTAGATCAGCACACCTACTCCTAGACACTTTGTAAAGATGATTCACAGAGAGGAAAGACAAACAGAACAACTCAAACCAAAGCAAGGGGGTTAGTTCCCTCATATCGCGAGGGTAGGTAGCGTGTCAAACAAACAGAGTATGGAGCGTGATTTAAAGGAAGGGTACCATAAAGTGCTCTGTGCTCACCCTGCCGCCGTATTGCAGCATGGGGGCGGGCAGCACGCGCCCCGTCACGTGGGCCATCTCATCGCGCACCTTGAACTGGAACTCCTGCACAAAGGGGTCCGCCTCGTAGTTGGCACTGCGCACCTGCAGGGGTCACACAGAGAGAGAGAGAGAGACAGAGAGAGGTGTTTAGGGTGGTGAAGTAACTTGCTATCCAGAAGGCAGTGTCATATTCATAATGCACTAAAACAGAAGAAAACAAACTACTCCTATTAGAAACGCTCAATTTGTCCAAAAATAAAAACGTTTTCATTTGGTACGGAACGCCCTAATGAATACGACCCAGGTTTGAGCATGTTTTGATGTTGAGACAACTCAAGTTTGTAGATGTGTTTTTAGTTCACATTTTCCCCAGAATGATATCTTATGCAACGTCCTGAAATAACCTTTGACATCTTTAGAACATTGTCAAACTTTCCCCTGGGTTTGCCAATCCTTCTGCATCTGTCACTCAGTTATTCCGCCCACACTTTAATTCAGTTCCTATTCGCTGGTGACAGCTAGCCACCATGATGAAACAATGCCATCTCCCACCTGGCATTTCACTGACCTTTAATCAACACTGACCTGGGCCCGTGTTCAATAAGCGTCTCAGAGTAGGCGTGCCGATCTAAGATCAGTTTTGCCTTTTAGATCATAATGAACAAGACAGGGGACCTGATCCTAGATCAGCACTCCTACTCTGAGACATTTCGGCAAACTGTACCAATATATCCTCCAAACACCGGCTTTGAGGGCATTATCACTTTTATACAACGGGTTACCAATATATTCAAATAATGATTGACATTTTCATTAAAAAACCGTTATTTTGATTAATTTATTCATACTATTTCATCATTCCACAAGATATAGTCCCGACACAAATCTAGGGTTGCTACCCAAGCCAGCTGGTCGTTCGTTCTATCGGTTGCCAGCCACAAAGTCGTTAAGTCTTTTTGTTCTAAATCTATGGACGCAACCCAGTCGTTTGTTCTAAATGTTCCATTGCCATGATGGCTGGCAACGTTCTTATCCCTTGCTTGCTAACTAACAGTGTAGCCAGAACACAGCAAACTAGCTGCATTTCGTGTTTTTCTATTGACATTTCCTCATACATACAGTACCAGTCAAAAGTTTAGACATCTATTAATTCAAGGGTTTCTTTATTATTACTATTTTCTACATTGTAGAATAATAGTGAAGACATGAAAACTATGAAATAACACATATGGAATCATGTAGTATCCAAAAAAAGTGTTAAACAAATCAAAATATAGTTTATATTTGAGATTCTTCAAAGTAGCCACCCTTTGCCTTGATGACAGCTTTGCACACTCTTGGCATTCTCTCAACCAGCTTCATGAGGTAGTCACTTGGAATGGATTTCAATAAACAGGTGTGCCTTGTTAAAAGTGAATGCGTTTGAGCCAATCAGTTGTGTGGTGACAAGGTAAGGGGGGGGGGGGGGGATAAAAGACCAAGTCCATATTATGGCAAGAACAGCTCAAATAAGCAAAGAGAAACGACAGTCCATTACTTTAAGACATGAAGGTCAGTCAATACGGAACATTTCAAGAACTTTGAAAGTTTCTTCAAGTGCAGTCGCAAAAACCATCAAGTGCTATGATGAAACTGGCTCTCATGAGGACTGCCACAGGAAAGGAAGACCCAGAGTTACCTCTGCTGCAGAGGATAAGTTCATTAGAGCTACCAGCCTCAGAAATTGCAGTCCAAATAAATGCTTCACAGAGCTCAAGTAACAGACACATCTCAACATCAACTGTTCAGAGGAGACTGTGTGAGTCAGGCCTTCATGGTCGAATTGCTGCAAAGAAACCACTCCTAAAGGACACCGATAAGAAGAAGAGACTTGCTTGGGCCAAGAAACACGAGCAATGGACATTAGACTGGTGGAAATCTGTCCTTTGGACTGACGATTCCAAATGTGGGACTTTTGGTTCCAACCGCCGTGTCTTTGTGAGACGCAGAGTAGGTGAACGGATTATCTCTGCATGTGTGGTTCACACCATGAAGCATGGAAAAGGAGGTGTGATGGTGTGGGGGTGCTTTGCTGGTAACACTGTCTGTGATTTATTTAGAATTCAAGGCACACTTAACCCGCATGGCTACCACAGCATTCTGCAGCTATACGCCATCCCATCTGGTTTGCGCTTAGTGGGACTATCATTTGTTTTTCAACAGGACAATGACCCAACACACCTCCAGGCTGTGTAAGGGCTATTTGACCAAGAAGGAGAGTGATGGAGTGCTGCATCAGATGACCTGGCCTCCACAATCCCCTGACCTCAACCCAATTGAGATGGTTTGGGATGAGTTGGACCGCAGAGTGAAGGAAAAGCAGCCAACAAGTGCTCAGCATATGTGGAAACTCCTTTAAGACTGTTGGAAAAGCATTCCTCATGAAGCTGGTTGAGAGAATGCCAAGAGTGTGCAAAGCTGTCATCAAGGCAAAGGGTGGATACTTTGAAGAATCTAAAATATATATTTTAGTTTGTTAAACAGTTTTTTGGTTACTACATGATTACCATATGTGTTATTTCATAGTTTTGATGTCTTCACTACTATTCTACAATGTAGAAAATAGTAAAAATAAAGAAAAACCCTTGAATGAGTAGTTGTCCAAACTTGACTGGTACTGTATATCCATAAAAATGATGCTGATTCATGATTTCGACTGGCTGAGAAAGGTTGCCAGCCTGTCTGTCTCGCCCCGACTCCCGATACATTCATTACCGTAGGACAACTGGAGATCGAATTTCAATATTGAAACAATGTTGCAAATGTCGGAGAGACAGACAGCAAGGTTATTACAATTATCCGCTGTTGAAAACCAATTGCTAGTCTAAAAGAAATGGGAGATCATGTCTAGATGTGAAAATCTAGTATGTAAATTGCCTGGCTGAGCTGATGAGACAGTGGATTGCCCAGTCAGACGCAACAGAGTAAATAGGCATTTCAACTTCATAGATGTAGCCGGTGTTCACTTGTGGAATAGACACTGGCTGGAATGGGGTTTTAACCAATCATCATCCAGGATTAGACCTACCCAGTGTATAAGAGTAAATAAGCCTCCATGCCACTAGGCGGCACCACTGACTCACCAGCCGGCTGATCTCCTCCTGTCTGTCGGGTGCAGAGCGAGCCGTGGCTTTGATCATAGTGGACGTCTGATTATCTGTCAGTTTCTTGATACACCGCTGCCCTGCTACTATGTTACACACCTGCAGGGACACAGAACCAAAGCATTGAGTATATTGGAAAGCATTTTATTCACTAATGCCTGAATCACACTATATGGCCAAACTGAGTCAATCCACCATAGTTGCTGAAGCCACGCTAAAAAGGACAATGTGAAAAGACAATATCCGAGCCATCACAGTACGGTTTGGGTCGGCCCTATAGTGTGAATCTGGCAAAGAAATGAATATTCCTCACCTCCAGGGGCAGGTAGGTGTGCTTCTGCTCCTGGCCCACCTGGAGGCAGGGCAGGTGGGGATATTTGAGCTGCAGGCTGTACTTCTCTCTGAAGTACTGGGCCACCGTGCGCTCCACCGTTTGACCATTCTCCAACTGCAGAGGGAACCTGAGCACAACAGGTAGATGGAACGGCAAGCGTTAAGAACATCTTTACTAACATAGAAAGGGGAAGTGCAAGAGGGGCTTGTCTGGGTCTTTGTAAACTATATGACCATCAAAGACAAGGTTATCAACAGCTTGAGTTGTCTTCAATTTCTAGTTAAGATCAATACAGTGAAACTGCCACACAAAGCTATCAAAATGTTGAGCAAATAATTCTCAAAATGTTGAGCATCAGTAAATACTGGAAAACAAAGAAGAAAGTAGCAGCAGATTAACAGCTGCATGTACTAGCATATTGGCCAATGATGACTAACACCTACTGACTTCTTGACTGAACTGACAAGGATCTGACTCAGACATTTTGTGGTTCTGGTGAATTGGTCATACTACATCTAAGTGCATGCTCCTCTCCCCCCCTCTCCCATCCCATCCCACCCCAAACATACCACCACACCCCAGGCTCTATGCTCATCTCCTCGTCTCCCTCTGGCCTTTCTTAGTCCCACCACACCCCACTCTCTCCCTAGTCCCACTCCACCCAACCACACCCACGTCTAGTCCCACCCCACCCTACCATCTCTCTGGGCCCCTCTTGACTCACGTTTGATGGCTGGCGGGCCGGCGGGTCACGTTGCAAACGCGGTACTTCCTCCGCATGGTTCCACAGTGTGTCACCTCCACTTTCAGACCTGGACAGGACAGAGACAGCTTTTAGGAAATTAGGGACATGGGAATGACACAAACGTGTGTACACAGGCACACCCAAAGCCTAGTATACATCCTCTTTCACACACACACAAAATACAGCGCATTCGGAAAGTATTCAGACTCCTTGACTTTTTCCACATTTTGTTACGTTACAGCCTTATTCTAAAATGGATTCAATTGTTTTTTCTCCTCATCAATCTACACACAATACCCCATAATGACAAAGTACGGGCTCTGGCTGGGCCACTCAAGGACATTCAGAGACTTGTCCTGAAGCCACTTCAGCGTTGTCTTGGCTGTGTGCTTAGGGTCGTTGTCCTGTTGGAAGGTGAACCTTCGCCCCAGACTGAGGTCCTGAGCACTCTGGAGGAGGTTTTCATCCAGGATCTCTCTGTACTTTGCTCCGTTCATCTTTCCCTCGATCCTGACTAGTCTCCCAGTCACTGCCGCTGAAAAACTTGCCCACAGCATGATGCTGCCACCACCATGCTTCACCATAGAAATGGTGCCAGGTTTCCTCCAGACGTGACGCTTGGCATTCAGGCCAAAGAGTTCAATCAGACCAGAGAATCTTGCTTCTCATGGTCTGAGAGTCTTAAGGTGCCTTTTGGCAAACTCCAAGCCGGCGGTCATGTGCCTTTTACTGAGGAGTGGCTTCCGTCTGGCCACTCTACCATAAAGGCCTGATTGGTGGAGTGCTGCTGAGATGGCTGTCCTTCTGGAAAGTTCTCCCATCCCCAAAGAGGAACTCTGGAGCTCTGTCAGAGTGACCATCGGGTTCTTGGTCACCTACCTAACCAAGGCCCTTCTCCCCCGATTGCTCTGTGCCTCGACACAATCCTATCTCGGAGCTCTACGGACAATTCCTTCGACCTCATGGCTTGGTTTTTGCTCTGACATGCACTGTCAACTGTGGGACCTTATAGTAGACAGGTGTGTGCCTTTCCAAATCATGTCCAATCAATTGGATTTACCACAGGTGGACTCCAATCAAGTTGTAGAAACATCTCAAGGATGATCAATGGAAACAGGATGCACCTGAGCTCAATTTCGAGTCTCATAGCAAAGGGTCTGAATACTTATGTAAATAAGGTATCAGTTTTTTATTTTTAATACATTAGCAAAAATGTCTAAAAACCTGTTTTCGCTTTCTCATTATGGGGTATTGTGTGTAGATTGATGAGGATATATATTTTTTAAATCCATTTTAGAATAAGGCTGAACGTAAGAAAATGTAGAAAAGGTCAAGGGGTCTGAATACTTTCCAAATGCACTGTACCTACCTTTGATTTCTTTGGTGAACTTGACCCGGTGGGAGTCTGTGAGAGGTCGGGGCTGCTCGTCTATGTTGTGGATGTCCAGGACCTCACACATGAACTGGATCACTGGCTGGGCTTTGTAGAAGGCCGTGGCAGACACTGCAGGACAGACAGGGCCATCAAACACAAGACTCGATCACACTCACTCAGCATTCCCAATCACTGGCACTACCTGCCAAAACCGAGAGTAATCTTGCTAGCTATTTACTGTAGATGCAAAATGTGAATTGATCTTGGTCAACCAAATACATCACGCCAGAAGCAGCCATTTGTCATCAAATCATTTTTAGCTATTTAGGCCTACATCTCAAACCAGACCAAGCACAGCAGCACAAGGCCTGTTTCATTGCCAGGGACGCCACCTAAGTACCTCAGGGAAGGGAAACGCCAACATGGCTCTCAAACATGAACTAAAACCTAGGAGGAACATCCAACATCCCTCTGGCTTTATGTGCCGTTAGAGGAAGCTGGCGCCTAGATGAAGGCCCTAATGCTTTCTCCACCTGAATGGAGAGATGAGTAGAGGAGAGGAAACAGATGCTGCACTGACACTGGGCTGACTTCACAGTGACGTCAGGGCCACGTCTGACAGCGACGGTGATGATCGGAGCATGCATGCAATTAGGGATGACGGGGAGCGCAGGTGAAGGTCACTCTCCCCAGAGACAATAGGGTTCTCATCTCCATAAACAGGAAATGACATAAGCAATTTAATGTTTGTTTTGATGCTTGTTGTTTGTGATAGTGCTGATATATTACTCTTGAAAGTGTTTTAAATAGCGCTAATTCTTGTTTGTTGCTTATATACTGGTACATTTCCTCCGTGTTGCTGTATCTTCAGCTAGGATATGTGAGTGTATGTATGTATGTACAGTGGGGAGAACAAGTATTTGATACACTGCCGATTTTACAGGTTTTCCTACTTACAAAGCATGTAGAGGTCTGTAATTTGTATCATAGGTACACTTCAACTGTGAGAGACGGAATCTTTAACAAAAATCCAGAAAATCACATTGTATGATTTTTAAGTAATTCATTTGCATTTTATTGCATGACATAAGTATTTGATCACCTACCAACCAGTAAGAATTCCGGCTCTCACAGACCTGTTAGTTTTTCTTTAAGAAGCCCTCCTGTTCTCCACTCATTACCTGTATTAACTGCACCTGTTTGAACTCGTTACCTGTATAAAAGACACCTGTCCACACACTCAATCAAACAGACTCCAACCTCTCCACAATGGCCAAGACCAGAGAGCTGTGTAAGGACATCAGGGATAAAATTGTAGACCTGCACAAGGCTGGGATGGGCTACAGGACAATAGGCAAGCAGCTTGGTGAGAAGGCAACAACTGTTGGCGCAATTATTAGAAAATGGAAGAAGTTCAAGATGACGGTCAATCACCCTCAGTCTGGGGCTCCATGCAAGATCTCACCTCGTGGGGCATCAATGATCATGAGGAAGGTGAGGGATCAGCCCAGAACTACACGGCAGGACCTGGTCAATGACCTGAAGAAAGCTGGGACCACAGTCTCAAAGAAAACCATTAGTAACACACTACGCCGTCATGGATTAAAATCCTGCAGCGCATGCAAGGTCCCCCTGCTCAAGCCAGCGCATGTCCAGGCCCGTCTGAAGTTTGCCAATGACCATCTGGATGATCCAGAGGAGGATTGGGAGAAGGTCATGTGGTCTGATGAGACAAAAATATAGCTTTTTGGTCTAAACTCCACTCGCCGTGTTTGGAGGAAGAAGAAGGATGAGTACAACCCCAAGAACACCATCCCAACCGTGAAGCATGGAGGTGGAAACATCATTCTTTGGGGATGCTTATCTGCAAAGGGGACAGGACGACTGCACCATATTGAGGAGAGGATGGATGGGGCCATGTATCGCGAGATCTTGGCCAACAACCTCCTTCGCTCAGTAAGAGCATTGAAGATGGGTCGGGGCTGGGTCTTCCAGCATGACAACGACCCGAAACACACAGCCAGGGCAACTAAGGAGTGGCTCCGTAAGAAGCATCTCAAGGTCCTGGAGTGGCCTAGCCAGTCTCCAGACCTGAACCCAATAGAAAATCTTTGGAGGGAGCTGAAAGTCCGTATTGCCCAGCGACAGCCCCGAAACCTGAAGGATCTGGAGAAGGTCTGTATGGAGGAGTAGGCCAAAATCCCTGCTGCAGTGTGTGCAAACCTGGTCAAGACCTACAGGAAACGTATGATCTCTGTAATTGCAAACAAAGGTTTATGTACCAAATATTAAGTTCTGCTTTTCTGATGTATCAAATACTTATGTCATGCAATAAAATGCAAATGAATTACTTAAAAATCATACAATGTGATTTTCTGGATTTTTTTTTTTTAATTCTGTCTCTCACAGTTGAAGTGTACGTATGATAAAAATTACAGACCTCTACATGCTTTGTAAGTAGGAAAACCTGCAAAATCGGCAGTGTATCAAATACTTGTTCTCCCCACTGTGTGTGTATGTATATATATATATATAAATAAATAAATAAATAAATAAATAAATAAATAAATAAATAATGTCCCCTGGTGAGGTATAAAACAGATCATTGGCGCCTATTTGCTTTCGCGCTCTTTTAGGGCCTATTCTCTTCATTGCTTAGAGCACAAAATGACTAATGAAAAAAGAGAGAATCATTTGCAGACGGCTGGACTTTTTCTGCCCTTGGTGGTGAATGGGGGAGGGGCTAGAGGAAGCCAAATGATTTGCGAGAGAGGGAGAGCGGGAAACCTGCCTGAGAGAGAGGGAGGGAGGGAGGGAGTGAGAGAGGGGCATTAAGACAGAGAGAGCGGTCAAGAACTCCCCAAAACAAAAGCAGCCCACCAAAATCGCTCCCAAACACACAGCGCCACTCAGATCTTTGCATCTCCGTCTCCACAGCAACTGCTTAGGCAGTACCCACAAAGCAAGAGACCCCCCCCCCCCCCCCCCCCACCCAATCCACCTTCTACAAAGCCTGTGGCCAGCCCACCCACCTATAACCAGAACCCTCCTTGCCAGCATGCGGCACAGCACCCACTATGGAGACCTCCCATATTAGGTAGAAGTTGCCCCAAACACGAATACAGGTTCAGGGCCTGTATTCATAAAGCGTTTCAGAGTAGGAGTGCGGATCTAGGATCAGTTTAGCCCTTTAGATCACATTGAATAAGATTACATGGACAGGGGGACCAGATCCTAGATCAGAACTCCTACTCTGATACATATGGCCCCAGATTGTTTCTTCCCCCTAAAAGACACCTGTCCACACACTCAATCAAACAGACTCCAACCTCTCCACAATGGCCAAGACCAGAGAGCTGTGTAAGGACATCAGGGATAAAATTGTAGACCTGCACAAGGCTGGGATGGGCTACAGGACAATAGGCAAGCAGCTTGGTGAGAAGGCAACAACTGTTGGCGCAATTATTAGAAAATGGAAGAAGTTCAAGATGACGGTCAATCACCCTCGGTCTGGGGCTCCATGCAAGATCTCACCTCGTGGGGCATCAATGATCATGAGGAAGGTGAGGGATCAGCCCAGAACTACACGGCAGGACCTGGTCAATGACCTGAAGAAAGCTGGGACCACAGTCTCAAAGAAAACCATTAGTAACACACTACGCCGTCATGGATTAAAATCCTGCAGCGCATGCAAGGTCCCCCTGCTCAAGCCAGCGCATGTCCAGGCCCGTCTGAAGTTTGCCAATGACCATCTGGATGATCCAGAGGAGGATTGGGAGAAGGTCATGTGGTCTGATGAGACAAAAATATAGCTTTTTGGTCTAAACTCCACTCGCCGTGTTTGGAGGAAGAAGAAGGATGAGTACAACCCCAAGAACACCATCCCAACCGTGAAGCATGGAGGTGGAAACATCATTCTTTGGGGATGCTTATCTGCAAAGGGGACAGGACGACTGCACCATATTGAGGAGAGGATGGATGGGGCCATGTATCGCGAGATCTTGGCCAACAACCTCCTTCGCTCAGTAAGAGCATTGAAGATGGGTCGGGGCTGGGTCTTCCAGCATGACAACGACCCGAAACACACAGCCAGGGCAACTAAGGAGTGGCTCCGTAAGAAGCATCTCAAGGTCCTGGAGTGGCCTAGCCAGTCTCCAGACCTGAACCCAATAGAAAATCTTTGGAGGGAGCTGAAAGTCCGTATTGCCCAGCGACAGCCCCGAAACCTGAAGGATCTGGAGAAGGTCTGTATGGAGGAGTAGGCCAAAATCCCTGCTGCAGTGTGTGCAATCCTGGTCAAGACCTACAGGAAACGTATGATCTCTGTAATTGCAAACAAAGGTTTATGTACCAAATATTAAGTTCTGCTTTTCTGATGTATCAAATACTTATGTCATGCAATAAAATGCAAATGAATTACTTAAAAATCATACAATGTGATTTTCTGGATTTTTTTTTTTTTTTAATTCTGTCTCTCACAGTTGAAGTGTACCTATGATAAAAATTACAGACCTCTACATGCTTTGTAAGTAGGAAAACCTGCAAAATCGGCAGTGTATCAAATACTTGTTCTCCCCACTGTGTGTGTGTGTATATATATATATAAATAAATAAATAAATAAATAATGTCCCCTGGTGAGGTATAAAACAGATCATTGGCGCCTATTTGCTTTCGCGCTCTTTTAGGGCCTATTCTCTTCATTGCTTAGAGCACAAAATGACTAATGAAAAAGAGAGAATCATTTGCAGACGGCTGGACTTTTTCTGCCCTTGGTGGTGAATGGGGGAGGGGCTAGAGGAAGCCAAATGATTTGCGAGAGAGGGAGAGCGGGAAACCTGCCTGAGAGAGAGGGAGGGAGGGAGGGAGTGAGAGAGGGGCATTAAGACAGAGAGAGCGGTCAAGAACTCCCCAAAACAAAAGCAGCCCACCAAAATCGCTCCCAAACACACAGCGCCACTCAGATCTTTGCACCTCCGTCTCCACAGCAACCGCTTAGGCAGTACCCACAAAGCAAGAGACCCCCCCCCCCCCCCCCCCCACCCAATCCACCTTCTACAAAGCCTGTGGCCAGCCCACCCACCTATAACCAGAACCCTCCTTGCCAGCATGCGGCACAGCACCCACTATGGAGTCCTCCCATATTAGGTAGAAGTTGCCCCAAACACGAATACAGGTTCAGGGCCTGTATTCATAAAGCGTCTCAGAGTAGGAGTGCTGATCTAGGATCAGTTTAGCCCTTTAGATCACATTGAATAAGATTACATGGACAGGGGGACCAGATCCTAGATCAGAACTCCTACTCTGATACATATGGCCCCAGATTGTTTCTTCCCCCTAATGGTTAAGGTTAGGATTGGGGGTAAGGTGATGTGCGCCGTCCTCACCGTCAATATTGAGCATCATCTTCCACATGGCGGGGCGTACAGACTGGTGGAAACCAAACCACACCTCTCTCCCCCCTCCCAGGGGATGGTCATATCCCTCTGGGGCTGAGAAGAAAGAGCGACCCACCGGAGTGTACCTGGAGAGGGGAGGGAGAGGGGGAGGAGAAAGAGAGAGATAGTGAGGGGGAAGGAGGGGGAAGAGAAAGAGAAGAGCAAAAAATAAGGAAAGAGATAGATAGAAGGGGGACAGACAGATAGGAGAATGGGAAAGTTAGTTTCCACAACCTGGACTAGAATCTTGGTCAATAGCTCTTTGCACAGTGACACAGTCTAACAACAACCTTATTTTTCAATTGACACTGAACATCAATAAAACGAGAGGGTGGCAACTCCACACGGCCTTATCGACATCTTATCACTGAGCGGCAAAGACACATTAATAACAGTGTATGCGTTTCCTAGAAAGTCCTGGACACATTCTGCCAATGTCAATGCAATAGCCTGAAGCTATAGCAAACACAGCCTTATGGCAGGTGTCGATACACAAAAGCCAGTTTTTATTTAAGACGGGAAAATACTTTCATTAAGGTTTTCATTCAGTATTGGTAGGCACACTGACAACACATTGTTTTTGAGTGGAGGAGGCTATGAGTGAGGTCAGCTATGACCGCATAGGAATGACTACACATTTGATTTCCTGCCGGATTATCTTCATGATACTGCCATGAAAACAACCACACGTGTTTTGCAAGAGCATACATTCACATTTTTCATTACCAATGTGGCACTAAGCAGAAGTGAGTCTTAACTGAAATGCAATACTTGATTTGTCATTTTAGGAAATTATCTTGGACTAAATCAGTATCTTGGCCAGCAAATGAAATACCTAATAAATCTGCCTCAAACGTAAAATGAACATGTAGCGGAGTTGTGTCGTTCGCTCTTAATCAGTTTACTGAGGTTTCCAGGGATAAATGCTAACCTATTCAGAAAGACATGCATCCTGTTTATCAAATAATGAACCCAATCACATAGTTATAACAACATTCCCTATTATGACCACCAGGGCGACGAATGTCTAACTCACTTCATGGAGGGCAGGTGTCGCAGCACCACGTCCACAGCGTGTACTGGGTTGGTGCTGATGGGCTTGTCCAGCTCCAGGGGCTCAGGCATGCTGCGGCCGGTTAGCACCTCGTGCAGCATGTGCCAGCTCACCAGGGACACAAACTTGATTGAGACCTTAAAGGGCCGGTCCTTGCCCCCCTCGCCCGGTAGAGTGACGTCCAGATCCACCTGAGGGAGGGGGGTGGAGAGGGGTTAGAGGTGTGTGTGAATGGATGCGTTAACAGATCAAGAAGTGTGTGTGCGAGCGAGAGTATGTGTTTTCGGTCTTACCCTTGTAGGAGCGCCAGGTAGTAGGTTTGACTGTGTGTGTGTGTGTGTGTGTGTGTGGCTGGGCGTCAGTCTGCATCCATCTTACCCCTGCGGTTGCCACAGGCAGCGGGTTGGCTGTGTACAAGCTCCTCTTCCCATCGTAGACTGGCCGGCGATCCCCAAAGATGGTAACCTTGAAGTGCTGCACCATGGAGTCCACCACCTCCCTACAGAACACCAAAACAAGTTTACCTAATTTTAGACTTGTCCAAAGGTCTGCAACTTGTGGCTCTGGAGCCACATGCGGCTCTTTAACTGCCCATATGTGGCGCCATAATTAGTATTGAAAGCAATAATAATAATCCATAAAATATAATAGAAGTAGAATAAACATCAAATTAGCTCTAGTCACACTTAAACAACCACATGAACAACCCATAATCCGATACCATGTGAAACATGTTGAGAAAGGCACAAACTCAGTTATTCTAGGCATACCTGTTGACACGGCGCGGGCACTTCTCGGGCTTGATGTCCACCTCATAGAGGTAGACGTCTATCTTGGGGATGTCCACCTGGAAGCAGTTGGCCAGCAGCTTGATGGGCTTCCCCATGGTGCCATAGCCAGGCCGCCGCGGCACGGTGAACAGGGGCTGGGCTCCAACGGCTCCTAGGGAGGAGAGAAAGAGAATGGAAAAAGGGAACAATCATTCAACTTCCATTACAACGGACCAGTTCTTTGAGGAATAGGCTTAGATTAGTATATTGCTAAAATCGGCTTTGATGTGGCCACTTTTTTGATGGAAAAGTTAGGTCTAAATCACCTGTTGCCTGTGTGTCAAGAAAATATATGTTGGCTGAAATAATATACTGGAAGGAACCACGTTAGAAAGTGCAGAGACAGCGAGAAAAGCTATGGGGGGGAATACAAAGGGTTGGTTTCACTATGAAACTGTGTGTGTGTGTGTGTGTGTATATACATGCATATGCAGCGGTACGTCACACACTGCCACCCCCCAGGTAAGGGATGTCTTACACACAAGTCACTTTAATCCAGTAGACAGTTATTTTTTTAAAACAGCCCGATGTGCCATACTCATCCCAGTGCCATTTTGGGTGTGCTGTCTCGAGGCCTGCCCATCAACATCAGGAGCAGCTGATGTGAAACCTTTTGAAGCTTTAGCCTAACATTTGCTATGACGTTGTTGTTCAGATGGCCTATGTGAGATGCTGAACTATTGCGCAACACTCAAAGTCTAACAATTGAGTTCAGATGAGGGGAGTCAGTCAGTATATTGTCTTTCATCCTAAACTATACTGAACAAAAATATAAAAACGCAACATGTAAAGTGTTGGTCCCATGTTTCATGAGCTGAAATAAAAGATCACAGAAATGTTCCAGACGCACAAAAAGCTTATTTCTCTAAAATGTTGCACACAAATTTGTTTACAACCCTGTTTATTGAGCATTTCTCCTTTGCCAAAATAATCCATCCACATGTCAGGTGTGGCATATCAAGAAGCTGATTAAACATCATAATCATTACACAGGTGCACCTTGTGCTGGGGACAATAAAAGGCCACTCTAAAATGTGCAGTTTTGTCACAACACAATGCCACAGATGTCTCAAGTTTTAGAGGAGTGTGCAATTGGCATGCTGACTGCAGGAATGTCCACCATAGCTGTCCACACCAGCCCAGGACCTCCACATCCAGCTTCTTCGCCTTCATGATCGTCTGAAACAGCCACTCGGACAGCTGATGAAACTGAGGAGTATTTATGTCTGTAATAAAGCCCTTGTGGGGAAAAACTAATTCGGACTGCGCCCAGTCATGTGAAATACATAAGATTATGGCCTAATAACCGATTTCCTTATATGAACTGTAACTCCGTAAAATCGTTGAAATTGTTGCATGTTGCGTTTATATTTTTGTTCAGTATACATATCCTCATCACCCCTATTCAACACTTCCATCTCTCAACTCAAGAAGTCAAGAAAAAAGTGAACCATAGGCGTTTCCACTCAGGCTCTCTCTGGTACTCTCCACCACCAAAACCAAACTGCCCCAATGTGTCATTGATAAATGAGTGTCAGGGCTATGAATGATTCACCTCCTATTGAGTCATGATGAGTATACATGAGTGGGTGTCAGTTCATTCGGAAACCCAGCGCAGGGGGGGGGGACGGAATAAAAAAACAAAACAGAACCCTTTCTCAGGTGCTGCCAGCTCATGGGCCTGTAGCATGAGTAAAGATGTTTGTTTAGGGCTGTCTTTCGGAAGCTGGAGCGTTCACGTTCCTCTCCCCTTCCGTTTCTCTCGCCTGGTGGACCTTGAGGGATAGGTACAGGGGTGACGGATGCAGGCTAAGGCTAGTCCTTGGTGGGTCACAATGACAGCAGAGAAAGGGGGATCGACAGAGAGAGAGACCGAGAAGAGGGGAGTCTGGAATTCCAGCCACGACTGTCCCACGGACACACACCACCCCTTTGTGATGGAAATTATCCAGGGGGCCGAGGGGAGACTAGCGCAGGTCTCAGACAGACAGACACAGACATGGGTTTACACATACCGCCACACAAAAACACACACACACATACACTAACACTACTGCCAGACACACACACAATCTCAGACCCTGAGAGTCACAGGCTCTCTCTGACACACACATTGCTTTTCCTGTGCTGCGGTGGGGGTGAGTAAGCCAAGGAGGAGGAGAGGGAGGAGTAGGATGGGCCGGGGGAGAGGGCAGGGAGGGCTGGTATTTTCTTCCTTTCATCCTCCACTCAGGCAGGCATATTTTACTACTAGCCTCCACGTTGCATGAGTCATTGGGCCAACGCAGAGAGAAACACAAGAGGAGTGTCCTGCCTCTGGACACCGTGCCAGGCATTCTAAAAACCACCCACACTTTCCTCCTTGTCCTGATGTGTGTGTGTGTGTGTGTGTGTGCACAAAACACCTGACGTGATCTTGCACACACACATGCTCTCTCACGTACGCGTACATGCACACACACACGTCCTCCTGATGTGTGTGTGTGTAAGCATTTCACGGTAAGGTCTACAGCTGTTGTAATCGGCGCATGTGACAAATACAATCTGATTTGAAGTTGTTTTACATATACACACACACACAGGTGCCTTCTGACGCGCCCTTACCGACACACGCAAGCTCAAACAACCATACACACAGGAAAGCAGCTGCAGCGTCATCATCCCACCATGCAGCGAGCAAGCCACAAAGAAACACCAAAGGCCACAGAGAGAAAAGGAGAGTTGTAAATACAGAGCAGAGGAAAAGAGAAAAGAACAAAGCTAGGAGCTAGCGTCATAGCGGCGGTCAGAGGGAACTCTACTCTGGTCAGACGAAACTGGCGATAACACACACCCACAAACAGAAATTCAGAACATGGCAAAAAACTTGGGGGAAACTACTCAACATTTCCAAGCTTCCGGTTATTAAAGCTAACCCTCCTGGCTATTTCTCCTTCAGACTTTCAAAGAAATGGATTCAAAACACACTCGTGTGCAGAACTAGACTAGATAGCAAAAAGGCTGCCGCAAAATACCTTCCAAGGCATGCTAGCCTATTTTCTCTGTCGGTCCCTGATATTTCAGAATGATTCTCAAGCACACACACACAGGGCTTAGTATCTCTCAATTCTTCCCTTCTAAACTATTTGAGCCCCTTGCAAACAAAACAAGTACAAGCATACCCCTGGGAACTGAAGAGGAGGGAACATCACGGAGGGATGCAGCTGTCAAGGGCCAGGGCATGGAGGTAAGTAGAGGGGGGAGCTGACTACTCTAGTCTGAGGCTTCTCTGACACTGTGTAGGCCCCAGCGGCCACGAGCTGGCCCTGTCCTCGGGTCACCCACTACCCATACAAGGCATGTTCAGTACCAAGCAAGCAACACAGCACAGAGAGACCAGTGGCTCAGTGGAACACACACACACACACAGAGATAAGCAGAATAGTAAGCGCGGACACACACACAGAGTGTGAAGCTGAACTAACTGCTCATATGAACTCATTGACCTGATACACACCAATGGATCAACCAAAAATGTCTGACTCTACAAAACAACAAAAGTTGAGGCATAAACTGCAAACCATGATTAGTATTCAACTATCCTGTAATACTATGACCTGTGAACTATTGGCCTTCCCATTGACATATTGAGATTGCCGGCAATGACAGAGAGCCTACTCAAAAGCACATGTGGAGGCATCAAAGGCTTGTGATCTGCGTCATTTAGCGGTGAGAGAGGGAGCAGGTTCAAGGAAACCTCCCCCTCGTGCGTTTACTCTGAAAGATTGTGTGTGTGTGGTCAGAAAATGTGTAAAGGACGGACGTGTTTTTCAAACAGAAAAATTCTAGGTACCCCTCCCAGTCTTTCAATGTTCTGTCTCGTCTTGTTTTCTGTCCCTACAGTACAAATCAAATGTTATTTGTCACATGCGCTGAATACAACAGGTGTAGACCTTACCGTGAAATGCTTACTTACAAGCCCTTAACCAACAATGCAGTTCAAGAAATTGAGTTATGAAAATATTTACTAAATAAACTAAAGTAAAAAATTTAATAACAATAACGAGTACCGGTACCGAGTCAATGTGCGGGGTTACAGGTTAGTCGAGGTAATTTGTACATGTAGGTAGGGGTAAAGTGACTATGCATAGATAATAAACAGTGAGTAGCAGCAGTGTAAAAACAAAAGGGGGGTAGTAGAGAGAACAATCTAGGATTTGGGTGGCTGGAGTCTGACCGCTAAGTATATAGGGCCTGGATGGCCGGAAGCTTGGCCCCAGTGATGTACTGGGCCGTACGTACTTCCCTCTGCAGCACCTTATGGTCAGATGCCAAGCAGTTGCCATACCAGGCGGTGATGCAACCGGTCAAGATGCTCTCGATGGTGCAGCTGTATAACTTTTTGAGGATCTGGGGACCCATGCCAAATAATTTCAGTCTCCTTAGGGTGAAAAGGCATTGTCGTGCCCTCTTCACGACTGTCTTTGTGTGTTTAGACCATGATAGTTTGTTGGTGATGTGGACACCAAGGAACATGAAACTCTCGACCCGCTCCACTACAGCACCGTCGATGTGAATGGGGGTGTGTCCGGCCCTCCTTTTCCTAAAGTCCACGATCAGCTCCTTTGTCTTGCTCACGTTGAGGGAGAGGTTGTTGTCCTGACACCACACTACCAGGTCTCTGACCACCTCCCTACAGACACCAACTAACAGAGGCAGTTAACTGAATAGTATTCGTTAGGGCACAACGTAGCAAAATGTTGTGCAAAGGAAAACAAAAAGTTATTTTCCGTATGGTGCCTAATGAATATGTCCCTGATATTACAAAGAAAAAGTCAGTGGGTATGTGGAGAGATAAGGAGGCATCACAGAACTGACCTTGTAATGACAATTTCTCAGTCAAACTGTAACAGAAGTGGATGTGGCAAACTGGGACCAAAGCGATAAACTTCGCAAGGGTGGCTTTGCAAGGTTGGCTTCCTGCAATTGTTCCATCATTTATTTTATTTAAAATGTATTTTATGAGCAAGCCAGCATTCGATTTCAGGCGACCTCAGCTTGCTACACTCATAGGTTGGACGCTGCTCAATGTTATGAGGTGAAAAATGACTAGGCTATATTATCACAGGCTAG